CTAAATCCTTAACCCCTAGATCCTAACTGTTACTGTAAGGGGGAAAGACCAAAGTTGTATTGCAACCGTGTGCATGCCAAACGGCATGTCAGAGCTAAAGGATTAGGGTCTGGGGAACCTTGACACGAACACCCCAGCATCCCAGAGGATAGGCTGGGTAAATCCTACTCATGCTGACTTGGGATGGTGGTAGGGGGGGGGGGGGCTGAAAGAGGTTTAAGTAGGTTACAGTGTGAAGACGCTGTCTATTTTTTAGGATTTGGGACCTTGACAGAATCGAGGGCGCCTTCTTGTGGATGTCTCTTTTCAGACTTCTGCCCCTGCAGGTGTGACGGGGAACAGCACATAGTGTAAAGCAGGTATTGCATATAATAACAGTACATATAATATGGACTGCTAGAAGGATCCCTTCTCTCACTCCCAACTACTTGTCGGCTGTTAGTAGGGAATGGAGCATCGGCTGGAGCGGTCCCTAAACTAGCTTCCATTTCGTTGTCCGTTCTTGCCTGGAACCCTAAACCCTAAACCGAACCACCAACACAACTCGTGGCGACTTGTCCCTGCAGTCGCTGGCCATGGCCTTGGCAGCACGCGTGGCGGAGCTGCCCTCGAACAAGCAGGTATGCAGTGCTCAGCCTTAATCCTGAAAAAGCCTACCAAGGGGGGCTGCATGGGGGGGCGGTAATCTGAAGGGAAACAGGGATCCAGTAGTAGCCGCCATATGCTGCACATCCTGACCCCTAGAACCCATTCCCCCCTCTCCCGCCTTGAGTAAATAATTCATGTCATGCGCTGGTAGGTTTTTTGGTTAAGGATGCTCACCTCTGCTTCAGGAACTTTTCCACTTGCCGTAGACATCCATGCCCTGGCGCCTGCATGTTTTGCAGGGCTTTGCAAAATTGCTGCTGCAGCTGCCACAGTAATTAGCCTGGTTGTTGATATCAAAGTGATAGCTCTGACCTGGTGTTGGGTATTCATCTGCCTGAAGGAGAGGGTATCTATCCAATACTTTGGCCCTAATTAGTGACGGTGTCTTGGACCAGGATCAACCCTTTCTTTTATCAAGTAGATCTCCCGAGACTCTAAACCCCATATAACCCCGTTATAGTAGCAGTGTCCATGTTCTTGTCCATTATCCCAATATTACCCCAATATAACCCCAAACCCTTGAATAGGCTTGGGCTGGATTTCAAATTCATGCAGACATGGCCTCCTTCTTAGAGCGACCAACGTAGAATATGGGGTTATAAAGGGATAATTGGAAAAGAAAATGCAAACTGCTATAGTATAATAGGGATTATATAGGGTTTCTAGTGGGATAATGGAAAAGAACGTGGAGGCTATTTATTACCCTAAGGGTCCAAGTACCTAATAATCATATACTTACCCAAAACCTGTATGATAATTACTATTACCTAAAACCCAAGTACCTGATTATTGGGTACTTGGACCCTCTGGGTCCCTAAACCCTAAACCCTAAACCCTAAACGAATATCTGGACACGTGGCCAGGCCATAGCTCTGAGTGTCGACCTGCGAGTGTTTCGCACTGCCGAGTTCTCAGGAGGGTGGTTGTCAAAATTATGGTCCCTTTTGGTAACCCTAAATATTAGGTGCAGTATTTTAATAGGGATCCAAAAAGGGACCATAATTTTGACAACCACCCAGGAAGAGTTTTTCTTTTGGAAGCTACCATCCAGGCCCTAGCCTTCACAGATCCTTTTCACCATGCTTCACACGGCTTAGGAAAGAGCTTTGATATTCATTACCTTCCGTCTTTCATTGTAGGCTGCGCTGCAGGCTGTCATGTTTCTTGGTACAGGCTCCGGTTTTCGAAGATCCAGAGGTGTTGAGCTGCTGCCTTTGTTTTACAGGTGCCTTCTTACGGGTTGGATTTCACGAGACGTCTTCTGGTTCATGGCGCAGGCAAGCAGGCACTGAAGCAAGCACTGAAGCAAGCAAGCAGCATCTGCAAGAACATGTTCATCGGACCCTTTGTGAGACATTGCTTGTCGAGGTGAGGTGGCACAGACTGCTCAAGGCAGCCTATGCTGTGGCCATGGCACATGAGTGGCAGGCTGTGCAGCTTGCATGAGTGGTAGCATCCCCATACTCAGGGTAAGCTGCTTGTGGCATGCTTCTGGCTAAGCAATCATTTGTCAGACAGGTCCCAACAAATATAGGGGCCTAAGTAGTTTCCAATATTATGGTTCCATATTCCTTGTAAAAAATGCTCAGGCCTCACCATCAACCATCAACGTACTTACTACGTTCCGCTGACTCTCGAAGCAGGGTATGGGGCCCGCGGCGGGTTGAGTACCCTATACTAAGCCCTGCCCCCTACTCCACTTGTCAAGCCCCAAAATAAAATTTCTGAAGATGATCCCTACGTATTGCCTCGAAGGGATTCCTATACTTATCTCCAAAGGCCTAGGGTATGCCTTTTGGTTAGAGGTTCAGCGCCCTCAAAACATGTTCAATATGGGTTTCGGGATTCCATGTTTCAGGTCTTGGAAGGTTTCGGTGGATTGGTCTTTTGTTTGTGCTGCTTCTTGGAGGCATGATTGTGGGACTCCACTTTTCATGTCACTCTCTTTGTGTTTTACATCTGATTCTCCATAATTACCGGTAGTGTGCCTCAACCCTAGACCCTAAGACGACGTATCCCCTATAACGCCATTTGCTCCTTCACCTGGCATGTTGCCAAAGCATCAGTTCATGAGGCAAGCTCCTCCTCAAGCAGACCCTAAACCCTAAAGCCTAAGCCTTGGGTCCTGCCCACACCCAGCAACAGTTGGATGATATTTAGATTCTCGTTATATATAAACCCATTAAAAATTACCCCTATTACAGGCTGTTACTGGGTGGGGGCAGTACCCAACCTAAACCCTTTCTCAAGCAGACGTGCCATAGAGGGCACGTCCTGCTGGACTGAAAACGTTGCCAAGACCCCAAACGTGCGTTCTACAGGGGCCTGAATAATTACCAAGAATATCATTTGAGGTTCATTTGAGGTGGCTCGTAGGGGTTACAGGTATACTTGCTACACCCCTGACCCTCCAAGTAGACCCTGAGCAGTGTTTGTGCCGAGGGCTGGTTTGCAGTCTTCAGAAGCTCATGAGAACAGTGCTGGAGCAAATAGCATCCTTCCCGGCCATGCAGACACAACCCAGACTGTAGGCATGTTGCCAAAAAATACCAGTCCCCCTCATATAGCAACCAAAACAGCAAGATCTTTGTTGCAGGCACTCAGAAACAGGTATCACTGATGTCTGCAGACCCCCGGCATGGGCTTTCTCAAAATGAGCCCTACAGAATCCTCAATCTCGTTATAACTCCAGTAGATCCCTATGCCTTGAGGCCATTATGCGCAGGCACTTGCTGGAAACAGAGCCAGATATCCACTGGTGCGAAATGGGCAGGTTTCATAGCCTATTACGGACTTGGTAGAAATTTGTGGATCATAGTCCACATTTTGGACGGGTTATAGTCCCCCTCAAGTAGATAGGATATGGCTTCGGGTATATTATAGTAAGATCCCCATTTTCCCCATATTCTATCTACTTAAGGGGGAGTATAGGGTGTTGGGTTTAGGGTCAAACCTTAGGCAGTAAACCCGAGTACTTGAAGCTGACCGTAGAAAGCGCTGCGCCATGGCATGCTAGCATGAGCTCCTATCGCTTCGCCAACCTTCTGGGCACGTCCTACAAGGGGGGCGGCATCCAGCCACTTGCTGGCAAGGAGTTGATCTATGGGATGTTATGGGGGACTTCTGAAAATTTGGGGGTGAGGGATGTTAGAAAATCTTCATCTATTTGGACTTGAAAGGGTTTCCGGAGGTCCTCATTCAGGATTCTGCAGGGGTCCTTGCAAGAAAGCCCCTTATGCAGTTTGCTTACAATTTAGGATCGTGTTCAATGGGGTCCTTCGAAGACAGATTGGATTTGCTTGGGAATGCTTAAAGGGACCTTGGCCCGTTAACCCCTAAACCCTAAAACCCTAAACTCCAAGACCCTAAAACCTAAACATTTAGAACCCTAAACCCTTTGAAGTGTTTGCCGGATCGCAATGTTTCAGGTTTACGCCTGATGGGAATGTCCTGCTTAGCCCGGTCGGCAACCGCATCAGTGGTGTGGACCTGGTGCAGGAAACCCAGATGGTTTAGGGTTTGAGGGTTTAGGGGTTTAGTGTTTAGCGGTTTAGTATAGGGTAGCTACCAGAATTTGCAGCAATATCGGGTCAAAAATCCCCGTAGTCCCGGTAGACCCGCTGCTGCGTCTGGGACCCGCCTTCCGATAGTTAATCAAAGCGAGCACCACGCCCTACTGTAGACAGCAAGGCCTTTCCTAATCAAACCCACAGCAGGACTCTACACAAGATTCATTGCAATCGTTGTTGTGTTTCCTTGAGCTACTGCTAGTTTATAATCACTTTTGGTACTGCTTTTATACCATATGACCCATACGGACCCTTAGGGACCTTTGATTCAGCTTACTTGTGCTTGAGTGAAAGTTAGGGGGTGGATCACTACAGTAAATCGTATATACTCAGTTGCAAATATTTTTTTTTTCAAGTCCCCGACTCCGAGTGCACCAGCATGTGCAGGGCCGATCTGTTACGCTGGCGCCCGAGAATCGAGAAGATGTGGCAGTGCTTGCGCTGACTCAGGCACAGGGGGCTTGTACGCGGATTGTGCGGAAGTGTTGCTATCTGCTTTCGACCCTGAAGTGGTTCATGACATGGTGGATGCCAGTTGCTGAAGGAAATGCCTGAAACGCTGCGATACTCAAAATAGCCATCGCCCTCAAGGATGAATGTCTGAAAAGATTCACACAGCAGACCATACATAATTCTTGAGAAGAATTCTCAGAATCCAGTGCTTTCCCTGCGGTAAGGCTCTCTGGGGAAAGTTTGGGCTTTGGGGGCTTAGCATTGGGATCCCATGATGCGCGCTGAAGAGCTGCAAGGTACTAAGCAGCAGTGGGAATCCCAAGTGTCCAGGACGCTCGCCTTCTGCTGTCCATCGACGTGCATGGCCATGCAGCTCAGCACAAACGGGTTTCCCCAAATTAGTGGTGCCTTTCTGGAGGTCCTTATAGGCTTCTAACAAAAGTTGTACTCTGCTGAGGTCTAATTATATTGGGGTCCCCTGATTCTGGGCAACCACCATAAAGGGGAGCTTCCTAAAGACTGTGAGGGGCTTCTTACAATCGAAACAATCCCACGTCAGATTCTTCAAAAGCTTGCTTCCTAAACCCCAAAAAAAGTGGTCCTTGGAAAGTGCCTCACCCAAAAAGCCCAACAACTTTACGGTTTATGGAAGCTGTAAAGCCATGTGGTCAATAAGGTAAGGAAAACGCCTGAGACCCATGGCCATGTTACCTGCAGGAATACTTAGCGTATTGAAGCCTCGACTGTTGCACTTGTACATAGAAACAGTTGCAACCCAGGTACAACAATCAAGTTATTACTGGGTGAGAGCGTATAGTCTCGTTCCATTGCTATTGACTATATCATTCGTGTTTCAGAGCATGCCTAGCTAGAAGCCCCAAAACACCCGCTAGTCTAGTCGCGAACCCATAAACCCCTAATCCCCCAGGCGTTGCTCATCAATTTCGTCCGGTGCAGCATCCTCCAAAGGATCAATTTCAAGGCCCGCGTGCAAAGTGCCAAGTGGAGCCCGGACAGTCGATGGCGCCTCGTTGGCATTCAATTAGTTTCTGTTTATGTGTATTACTTTTCCTTCTAAGGAGATGGAATGCGAGGCATTTTATGTAGGTAAGTAGAGCTTCCGTCTAGAACAGAGACTGCCTTGCCTTCAATGTGTAGCTGAATATCAGAGAGCTGCTTTGCAGTTTGCAAGTGCAATAGGGTCCCATCCCAGGGGTACCCCTGCTTAGAGCCATTCATGTCCTAAGCCCTAAGCCCTGAATTTACGTATGCTCCTCCAAATCAAAGGCTCCCTAGGGTGCACACTTCAGCCCTTACCTTCAACCCTAAAACCTAAACCCTAAGCTCCTGTTTTCATAGACCCCTCAGTTGGCTTGCGTTGGCGGCCCAGGCTCATCGTGAGCCACGGGAGGAAGATTCAGCTGTGGCGGTCCCTTGCATAGAAGATATGGGAGTTTGTCCGAAAGGGGGTGGCCTCTAGAAACCTAGGCATCTACAAGACCTGCGGAGGATTCCAAGGGGAAAATTGTGTAGAAGGTCACATATTCAAGGTAAGCTTGCTGCGGTGAAGGGTCCTGCATGTAGCTTTTAGCATTGACGATGTCTGGAGTTCAGGATTTGGGATTTAGGGTTCGCATAATGATCCCTTTCCCATAGTGAAACACGCACCGCCCTCCAACATGAATTGCTGCTGCTGATGGGGCGCCAGTGGCGATGTTGAGTAGACCATGAACCTTAGATCAATAAACCCTGGACCCTAGAACCCGAACCCTAGACCCGAAACCCTAGACCCTTAACCTAGCCTGGCGCTGAATCCTAGGACACCGACAGTCGAGCTCGGCTGGCAGTTCGTGAAGGACGAGCTTAAGCCCGTGGCCGTTGTGGTGGTGCGGGTTCAGGGTTTTGGTGGTTTATGCAAGCTATCGGCAGACCATCCAAGCGAGACGCACGCTAGAGATGCCCAGGGCACCCTCACATAGCAGAGGGTTACATCCAAATTTAGGCATTGCGCCGTCGGCGCTCTGCCCTCACCAGCCTGTTGTACTCATTCCACACCATGCGAGAATTGCGATATGCAACCGGACAAGGGGTTGAGGGTTTATGTTTTATAGGGTTTAGGGGTCTAGGGGGTCAGGTTTTAGAGGGTCTAGGGTTTAGGCATCGTAGGGTTTAGGGGTTTAGGGCCTTAGGGTTTAGGAGGTTGGGGGTGCTGGTGGGGATGGTGTCAGAAGCGGTGATGGTTTCGACGGTGGAGGTGGCACTCCCCCTCTTGAAGCAGAGACACCCCGTGGAGTCAACATTGATAACAGCCTGAAATTTGAATCATCCTACTTGTACCTCCGGTTTCCAGATGCAATAACCCCTACATGCCCCACATAGATGGCATACCTTGCTTAGAACCACACGTTCAACCGCCCATGCGTCTGAGAGTAGGAGCGAATACTGGCCGGGCACCACGATGATGTGGTGGACCTCTCGTGGAGTCCAGACTCCCGGTTTTTCGCATCCTCTTCCAAGGAACGGTTTAGGGCTGCTGGGGTTTAGGGCTGACTTGAGGTTGGAACACTGCCGAGCTAACCCCGTCGTAAATGGGACCCTTTAGGTCATTTAATTTGCCCTGCAGTGATAGCCCCTAAACATGGAGCTAGCAGGGCCACAATTGTCCTTTCCCAGACCCCTGGGAGGATCTAAAAATTGGATCCCTTATATAGACCCACTGTAACCCCTATATTTCCTCATAATATGGTTTACCATATGGTTCTAGGGGATCTAATTTTTCGATCCCTTTGGGGGTCTGGGTTTGTAGTATCCTACTGGGTGAGGATTGATCCAAGGGATCCTTCTATTTTAGTACATAGCACGAGATAGGGGCCCCAATATAGACCCAAAAAACTATAACACTTATTATGGGGACCCCCACAAAATGGTACCCCTCATGTTGGGAAAGCCTAAACCTTAAACCCTAAACCGCCTAAACATTAAACCCTTAATCCCAGATAGCAAGCCTAAGCCAAAGGACCTCATATTTCAGGGTATAGTGCTACAGGCACAGAGGGACAGTGGCAGGGTTAAGGGAGGCCTCTAAGGTTCAAGCTGAGGGTGGCAGGCTTACGGCCCAGTGCCCAAGGCTCACCGTGGTAAAGGTTTAGTGGTTTAGGGTTACTGTATATAGGGGTTAGAAAAGGGTTCAATAGAGATTTTCGGGTATATATTAGGGTTGTATAGGGACAACGGAAAACACAATGGAATCTACCATTTAGTGTTTAGGGTATATGGTTTAGGGGTTAGAGTTTGGGCTTTTAGGTTTTAGGCTTGTACCTCAAGGGCCCTTGCAGCAACTTTCGGTAGGTACGCTTCTGCCTCATGAGACAGATCTAGCCAAGTAATTGGATTCCTTGAGGCAAAGATCTGCAGGAAGGGTGACACCATTTTTTGAGGAAGCCTTAAGGGATCCAGGGTAAAGTTTGGTTATTTCGTATCCCAATTGGGAGCCAGTAGAGAGGAACACTCACTAGATCCCGCCAACCCTCCAAGTTGGAATCTAGGTACCCCAATAGTACCTTTTTCCCCTTTTTCTCATGGGGTCCCCTTCTTACAGCTGACCATGTTCAAAAGAGTACCCATATTATCAAGGTGTTACTAGGGAACCTGGGAATTTTTTTACGCAATTTTTGCAGGGGGTTGTGTATGAGGCTCTCGCACGCCTATTTTCCTCCAGCACAATGGAGGAAAGGATCTCTTTTAGGAGCCCCCATATATTTCCCAATGTTGTTGCTCCTGTTCCATTCCCTAAGCCTGAGCACGTTGACCCTTAGCTCTAAACTTTTTGTATTTCTATAAACCTCCAGTTTCCATGTCAATGTCCTTTTGATTTTCCATTGTTTCACTTCCTGCTAATTTGAGAACAGATATCTCCGTAAACTGAAATATCAACCCAGTATCTGTTTCAGTTTCATGGTTTGTTTATTTGATCCTCCTCCATCGCAGGGGTGATATCCCTAAACCCCCTGAACCCTTAACCCCTAAGGCCCTAAACCCTAGTCCCTAAACCCTAGCCCTCCCAAAAAAAAACACAAAAACAAGCACCATACCTCAAAACCTCCAGAACCTTAACTCCACCCTAAACCCTAACCCCAAGCCTTAAACTCATGCAGTAGTATGAGCAGGACGGAACGGTACGGCTCTCCGCCGCCCGCCGACTCGAGGGCTTTCAGCCGATGGCCCTCCTAGAGTCTGGGATGAAACAAGGGAAGATTTAGGTTGAAGGGTTAGGGTTGAGGGAGCAGGGTTTAGGGATTAGGGTTTAGGGATTATGGGGTTTAGGGATTAGGGTATAGGGTTTTGGGATTAGGGTTTAGGGATCAAGGTTTAGGGATTTAGGGTTTAGGGATCAGGGTCTAGGCCTCAGGCTTTGAGGGTGTAGGCTTTGAGGAAATAGGTCTACCTGACGGGATAGATACTACAGAAGTAGAGGACAGAGGCTAAAAAACCAGAAAGCGCGCTGTAAAGGCCTGGTGTTGAGCCTAAACCCTATACCCTGGCATGCTGCTGGGACTTGCAAACGATCACCTATCGGTACTAGGAAGCAAACGCAGATTTAGCATGCAAGCCCATCAGCGAGGTACCAAAATCCTCGTCCATCTTAAAAGTGCTGATATTTGGGGGAGCCCAAGAGTTTTCCACTGCACCTGGGTTTCGGGTTTAGGATACATTTCCCGATATAGTATCATGCAATGCTAGAATTCGAGGAACATTTTATGTTAGGGTGGGTGGTGGGTTCATTATTGCGGGGATTCATTGATATGTTCATGCTTATTCCTGGCATTCTACAGTAGCGCCCTCCAGCGCTAACCCCGGAACCTCTTCGAATTACTTGTTTGTTAATGCTATGAGTGTGCATCACTAGTCTTATTAGTAGCTGTACTATTATTATGAGTATTTATCCTCCGTTTGCACTGTAAACCTTGACGTGTTCAACAATCGCTTTACCTTACAATCCCTCCAACTCCAATCCCTCAAGGTCATGAACCCAAATAGCTTAGCCTTAGCCCCTAATGCTTTATATCCGGCAGCCCCCAACCCTGAACCCTGAGAACTAAACCCTAAGCCCTGTCATCCATAAACCCAAAACCCTAACTCCTTGACCAACAGTAATTCCGAAACCCTAAAACTTAACCCTAAACTCTAATTCCTAAACCCTGTGCCCTAATTCCTAATCCCTAAACAGTAATCCCTAGTCCTTAAACCTTAAAGCTATATATATGTGCACATATATAGAGCAGCCAAGCCAAGGAGCATCGCAGTCCGGCACCTGAGCCTGCAAGTTACGGTCAGAAGGATGTAGGATAAACAGGACTTTAATGGGAACATAGAACCCCAGCTTAGGGTTTAGAGTTTAGGGTGAGCCCCAAGAATAGTGTCAAACTTTAGTAGGAATATACCTACCAGGTGGCCAGGGGGTTGCCTGTTTTGGGGTTCAAGAATAACAGTCCCTTCATAGGATGTGTAGGGCATGGGGTAGAAGGCTAGCGCTTGGGATTCAGGATTTGTGTGACTTACGATGTTTCAGGCGTAGGGCTTAGGGTTTAGGGCTTCTGGGTAGGACTTGTAGAGCTTATGGGGCTTAGGTCTATGGTTTAGGGTTTAGAGTGAAGGTAGACCGCTTTGGCTTTAGGACGGCGGGTTTGGTGGGGACGCCAGTGGCCAGGGGAATATTAGCCTACAACTTGGCCTACTTTTTGGGATTCCTTTACCGGGCCCGTGCCCGGGGCCTCATGTCCCTACCCCGGTAGGGCTTCATGTTTAGGAACCCCCCAACCCAGTAATAGTGACTACAAGGGATAATAAGGATTAGACTAGGGTTCTTTTACGTTCCTATCATGCCACTATGACCGGGTGGGGGGGGTCCTCCTAAAGTATATGGAGTGTGTGGCTTAGGTTAAGGGCTTGGGCAAATTGCGGGGAGAGCTAAGCAGGGTTAGGCTTACCTTTGGTTAGCCAGGAATGAAGGAATGGATCCTTATAGTAGTCCCTATATAACCCATTGTAGTAGTTCCCATTTTCCTTTCCGTTCCTTCATTCCCACCCTAAACCCTAAATAGTAGTTTCAGTTTTCTTTTCCATTCCTTCATTCCCAGCTGACCAAAGGTAAGTAGGTCCATGGAGTGTGATGAGGTGTAGGCTCGACCTGTGAGTGGAGTTGAACTCCAACTTCACAGCGGCTTTTGGACTTTCGGGTTTACGGTGTTGGTTTCCTTGCTTTTTCTTGTAATAGTGTGGCCACGGTGCCGCGGAACTTCAGGTGTTTGCCTTTCACAGTCTCTGACATGCTATATCTGAATGAGCAGAAGCCGGCTTTGGAAAGATGTCGAAGTTTGCCATCTAGGAAACTAGGAACCCCCTCAGGCAAAGTGCGCTACCCCTCCCCTAAACTAGCATTGGAGACCAGCATTTTTTCCAGAAGGCTTCACGTTCAATCGGGAAGGGAGAAGGACTTTTCGCTGGTTCTTTGGCGGCTTCCCGGGAACCAGGGGTCCCACCCCCCTGCTATACAGCCAAAAAATATCCTTCCAAAACGGAACCTCGGAAATCCGTAAATAAAGCGGTTGTTGCGGTGCAGCTGTTGACAGGGCTCCAGTGCTCAAGCTCACATGTGCTAGAATCTAGAATCTGAATCTGAACATTCAACACCCCATAAGCCATTATCAGCCAAGCCTTCAAGAATTGGCGGGGTCCCAAGATTCTTTAAACCCTAAACCCTAAACCTCTGAGGTTTTTGAACCCAGGTCCTTAACCTTGACCCAACCTCGCATTTGGGGCTTTGTGGCTGTTTCTGATCTGAACCTGACAGGAACCCAAAAAAGCTGACAGTTCGTATAATCTGAATTTCCTCGTCTGGGTGGCTGTTAAAATTATGGTCCCCTTTTGGATCCCTATTGTAATACAGCACCTAATATTTAGGGTACCCAAAAAGGGGACCATAATTTTGACAACCGCCCTTTTGTCATTTGGAGAGGCTCAAGCTTTCAGTGGGGTTTCTGGGGGTGTCTGAGGAGGCTTAGGAGAAGAACCCGCCAAGTCTTGCTGAAAACGTAAAGGTAGCACATCCCAAAGAGCTCGACTACATACTGGGTTGCTGTTACAGAACTTAAAATTAATCACCAGGAAGCCATATTGTTTACTATATACCTATATTATGGGCAACTTGAATTTAAGGTCCTTCGCAGCAACCCAGAAAAATGGGACGCAGGTCAGAGCGGCATTCTTCTCGAACGACATGCAGTACTTGTTCAGCATGCGCCCTGCCTTACTGCCCAAGTCTGGAGTCATCTCTTCTCATCAGTGACATTAAAGGGTTCACGCATGTATACACGTACATACATATCCACACATGTATACCTATATCTATCTCTACGTATGAGCATATACATACTCATACATTCATGGGCAAAATCAAATATCAATGGGGAGGGTGTGGGCGCGTGACGCAGCAGGACAGCAGGGAGGAAGAACGATCGTTTGACCGCGGAAGACACTCAGCACAGCTAGGTTCCTTCCTAGGCGCGGTGCGACTGAGGAAATCAACGCCTGCATCGTGGGATTCCCAGCCTTAGAGGCCTTGTTCCGGTGGCTAATGGTACCCGAAGCGCAGAGGGAAGAAGCTCCATTTCCAAACTTGGGATTCCTTCTATACACCCCCAAACTATCAAACTACTAGAGTCCTCATTATCGGGATTCCCAGAAAAGGACAGCAAATTGGTGGAAACATGAAGCGTGCTGGCTAAGGTCTCGTGAAGGCGTTCTAGACGCTGGGCTTCAACTTAGCGCACGTGCGCCGCTGGTGAAGCAAAGCTGTAGGGTCCCTCCACAGCCATAATCCTCCCAGTCGTCTTGTATGTAATGAATACATTCCTCTTTATTCCTCATCTGGCTGCCAAGAACGTCAAGCATTGGATGACTTCCTGCGTGCGCCCCCAAAAGTGGCCCCCAAGGCTTATTGCAGGTAAAGGGAGAGTGGGGGAGTGGGCCCCTCAATACCTAGACATAAACCGGAAGAACAGTACTAATATTCACTCCCCGAGGGCTTACGGTTTAGGGTTAACGACACCTCCCTGTCAAAAAAGGTTTCGGCCAAGTACACGCTCAAAGAGGGTGCGGCCAACGATGAGGTCACGCGGCCATTTCTCAAAAGGATTGTGTGTATACACATACACATGTACACTCAAGATGCAAATTCACGTACACATACACCTGCACATACATGTAAACAGTGGTCGAAGCTGTATGTCCATGTGTATGCGTACATGGTCAAGAATACGGACACGCGTACACTTTCAAGAATACGGACGTGCATACATCTGCAGCTGTACTTATGGGCACAACAGCACATGTTGCATACAAATATGCATGTGCATATATCCAAGTAGAATTTTCGCTCTCTTTCTCTCTGTCTCTCCCCCTCTCTCTTTCAAGGGGTAAGTTCCTTGTGTCGTAGGGACACCCAAAGCCGTCTCATCAATTGTTGCGGTCGGGGCAGGGGGGATACGAGCAATACTGTGGGGTGATAAAGGACTGCAGAGTTCCCCGCTGAAGGGTTCTAGAGGACAACGAGCCCGTAGCAATTATCAAGCCGTTACGCTTCACAACTGGCCCTTAGCTACTTGTCAGGACTCGTCCACAGAAGCTCGTTTCTTTCATTCTCAGCACCCTAGCCCCTATATGTCTCCCATAGAGTCCCAATATATCCCCTATCCACCCCTTTAACCTTGAAATCCAGCGGTCATGAGGAGAGCGAGGGCAAGCTCCTCTACTGCCAGCCCGGCACGTGGGCCGTAGAGTCCAAGGCTTACTGCCAGCAGCCCATGCACAACAAGGCAGGACAAGACATGCTAACAGTGATAGGAAGACTACTCAATATAACAGAAGCAGTAATGGTAACTGCAACAATATCAGAAACAGTAATAGATATAGTAACTGCAATAGTAATGGTAACAATAACTGGAGCCCATCTCTGCTAGCTGACAAGAACACCCCCAGATAGACCATGCTCGCATCCTTTTGCCGGGAAAGGTGCTCGTTGTTTGGGAAAGCACAGTCGGATTTCTTTATTGTCCAACACCCAGCAAGCCCCCTCACCGTGGCGCTGATCGAGCCGTCTTTGGGTGGGAGCCGATATCGTCTGAACGACATTGCCAAGATTAAAAAGAGCACTGTCTGGAAAACGCGTTGACAGCGGTTTTGTTTGAATCAGCACCTCCCCACAAGCGGATTTTGGCTGGCAAAAGTTTGGGGGCAGAGGCGGCTAATTCGTCACTTCCTAAGACTAAATCCTGTGCCCCCCAATGAATATTCAGTTCCAACAAAGCACCGGGCATATAACATACAATACATATGTACGTATATTTGGGGGGATGACTACAAACCTTGTGCCTGACTTGAGACTCGGGGTGGTCAAGATGCTTCTGCTTCAGGAAATGAAGGCAAGAGGGAGATCTGCGAAATCCAGTTTTTTTGGTTCTTGGCCTTAAAAAAGAGAGAAATCCACTTTTGTTGGTTCTCGGCCCCCGAATGTTTGCAAGTGCCACATAATCTTTTATTGCTACCCTCCTCTCATGTTGACTTTCTGATGATTCGCATGGGTTTCTCAGTCTGCCCAGGATGTGTGGTCCATTGTGTCCCAGCTACTCAAGCGATGCTAAAGGTTCAGGGTTCAGAGTGTAGCAAAGAGGTGAAATGTGATAGCCACTTTTGGAGACGTCCTTTTTTTTGCTTTCCCTGGCACCGTTGAGCAGAAGTCCTGCGCATGCCAGCCAAGGATAGTGTCCCCGCATGGACACCCGAGAACCCAACAGCCCATAGTTGTTTTCAGGCGGCATGCCTGTTGTCCACAATCCTATTGCGATTGAAATTGTGGCCTTAGAAATTCAATAACGACTGACGCGCATAATTGTCTAAACTACCGGAAGGGAGGATGTATAGGGGATTATATAGGGGACTATTATAGGGGTTATATTAAGAGGTTTAGACAGTGGGTCGCATGGCCGGCCAGAAGGTCATACGCTGCGCCTTCGACGGCAAAGCCCAGCTATTAGCGGTGCCTTGCCATGCTAGTCTTCGGGCCTCGGGTTTGGGAAAGGGCTTTGGGTTTTAGGGTTCAGGGTTTGGGGTTTAGGGTTTTAGAGTTTGGGGTTTAGGGTTTATAAGGGTTTAGGGTTTGGGGTTTTTGGTGTTTAGGGTTTGGGGTTTAGCGTGTCGGGTTTGGGGTTTAGGGTTTTAGGATTTGGGGTTTACGCTTTAGGTTCAGGCTTTAGGGTTACCCGTGACCCATTCCAATAACCAGCTTCATAGAATAATGGATCATACCTACTAATGAGGGGGACATTGCCCTTAAGCTGGAGCAATTTGGATAACAGGTGGGGGTTCAGAAGGTTTAGGCTTAGGATTCAGGTCTGTTAGAGCGGCGGTGTTCTTCAATAGGTTTTGTATTCACATGCTTCATTTGAGTTCCTATAATGATGATAAGCCTGGGCTCAGCGCAGCAAGCACGTAGGTTTTCACCTGAGCTTTCCTTGTTCAAAATCTTGCTAGGCTCCATGCAGGGCATTGAGCCCATGGGGCTTAGAATGTTATTGTACCATAGCCAGTCAGGCCTAGAGGATGCTGACGCAAGCGCCCTGTCTAAAGCTTCTGACACAAGCCCCCCCCCCCAAAACACGACGCTCAGAATTTGTCTGCTGGCATCATTCCGCGCAACCCTACACCGTAAAGCCTTGAAGCCTAAATCCTAGAGCCCTATGAAGCCTAAAGCCCTAAATCCTAAAAACTCTAAAGCCTAAACCCTAAACTTGTCCCTGCAACTCCACCCTCTCACACAAAGGCCCTGAGCCTCCTGCATGCTTGGTTGTTAGTAGGCAGTGAAGGAATGGAAAAGACAATGTATCAGTTCGGGATTAGGGAGACTTTATAGGGCTACTATTGGAATCCATGCCTCCTATTCAGTAAGAAGCGGAATGCGATGTAGAATCACTAAAGAGGTATGATCTCCTTATAACTTCTAGCCCCTAAACCCTAAACCCAAATTCATGATCCCCAGATATCCCAAGGGTACCATACGAGCTATAATTCAAACTCCTTCAATAGGGTTAAGTAGGAGACTATACACCAGAGTATTATAGGGGTTGCCACGGGGGATACTAGGAGTTTAGATTATAATGGGGATCATTAATATTATTACTTTTGTTATCGGAATCATTCTGATTTCCATAGATAACCATAGGGTACCCCCCCCAAAACCCTAAACCCTAATATGAGAGCAAGGTAGGCTTCAGCGCGGGAGTGCTGATGCTGTTTGAGATGCCGGCCCTGCAAGCTCTTCAGACATTGAGTCTTGGCCTTCCCTCGCGCCGAAGACCAGGGTTTCGGGGTTAGGGTTTGCTTACTTATTTTTTTTGTGAGATGTGTAGGGGTTAGACTGTTTTCCAGGCTTCATTTGGGAGACAGGCTGGGGTATCACCGTATGCTACCGTATGATGGCTGTTTCTGCGTGGTAATAATGATAATAGGCTATTGACTTGTAAGCCTGCATGATGCGAGACACTCACTTTTTTGAGATGCTCACACAGTTTGATTCCGCATGCCATAAGCGCCAAACCCTTTAACCGCTGAGGAGCCTTGGTCAGGAGCCCCTGGACGCAGTCGCTCTGGGCGCGAATGGCGACTGGCTGGCTGTGGGAAGTGCTACTGGGTTGCTGTTAATAGGCTCTGGCTCAGGATTTAAGGTATTGGGTTCAGGTTAGGTTGAGTTCTTCGGGTTCATGGTTTTGGGGCTTAGGTCAAATTACCCTAAAGGCCCTAATGCCGGCAAAGAAACTGGCATGACTACCATGTCATGTGAATGAGCTTGACCTCCCCCCGGGAACCTACAAAGACTACAGTCCTTTCACAGGGGGCGCCACGTGGAGTTGCATGTTGACTGGGGGAAGACGAATCAAGTTTCCATGGGTACTTTGAAAGAAAACGGAAATTCCTGCACAATGTAATTTACGCCAGGGCAAGGGCTCGAGGAGTGCTAACTTAAGCTGCCAAAGGATTTAGTACACATCGTTGCCATGGGAAGTCCCTTCATCATAAGTTGCTGTCCTGGCGATGTTAGGCTGCGGGTAGTATAAAACAACAGGACTTGCAGGAGGATCCCAAACAGTAAACCGTAAACCCCAAGAATATACTAGGAATATAATGGGAGTGTACCTACCAGGGTCCGCATATTCCTAATCTATTTCTACTAGAAACCCTAGACCCTTTTGTGGTTCCCTATTCCTACTAGATTCTTAGGGTCCCCATGAAGGTCCTTTCATAACCCTAAACCCTATAAGCCCTAAACCCCAAGCCCTAAACCCTAAACCCCTAAACCCTAAACCCCTAAAGCCCTAAACCCTAAACCCTAATCCGCCTTAGGATCTTATGAGAACAACCAAGGCTGGAACTGGGCAGCTGCTCGTTTGGGAGTGGCGTTCCGAGACTTATGTGCTGAAGCAGCAGGCTAAGGGTTTATAGGGTTTAGGGCTTCGGGTTTAGGGTTTATAGGGTTTACGGCTTAGGGTTCAGGGTTTAGGACATAGGGCTTAGGGTTTAGGGTAATGTAGGGTAGGCGTTGATCTTAATGTGCGCTAAACGGTTTCTACAGTCAGGCTTGGGGCTTTTGAGGCTGCAGAAGGGTATACTAGGTATATAGGAACTGTGTACATGCCAGCTATAACAGCACCAGTTGTGTAGGGAATCTAGGATTCATGTCCTGCACGTGGCTCTAAGCCCTTAGACAATGGTCCGCAGTGTGCTCGCCTTATTTGTTTCAAGTCCTCCCTTCCTGCTCCCAATTCCTAGTAAAGACCTGAGCGTCCAGCTCAAAACCTGATAATACCCTTCCCTTTATAAAGAACACCCCGCCCCCAATTACTAAACATTCTGTGAAATTCCTTCTTAGATACAAGGGTGCTAATTCGGCGGGGTGTTCTCATAATTTTCTGGGCCCCCTCCCTGCTCTACATGGCCTGCCTGGGAGGGTCACCACTATGGCGTGCGATGCGTTGCCTTCTCCCCGGGCTCAGTGTCCATGAAGCGCGGCAAGGCCCTTGCTACCGCCGAAGCAAGACCCGAGGACGAAGCGGCGGAGGGACGTATAGGGCTTAATTAGGATTTAGGGAGGAGTTCAGGAACTAGAGTGTTTGGTTTAGGCTTTGAATCTGGGCTGGCCCTTGATTTAGGGAGATCTTCATGGTCCTCATAATTCGCTATTATTTTTTTGGGGGATACCGTAGCGGGGCCTGACTCTTTTTCAAACTGCACGAAGTTGGGATTGAGTGCAAGATGATGTGGGAATTTCTCTCGAAATCCACACGTTGTGCTTACGGGCCCAGGCCTACAACCCTCACATCCCCAGTCTCCCCGGGTTGCCTTGATTGTCAAGAGACTTTCACAAAGGAATGTGTGAAGGAGAACAAACGCCTTCATAGCGTCGAGTAGGATACTGATCGGGATTGTAGGGACGCTGCGCCAATTCTGGCTAACTCGGGGAGTACAGAGGAATAAGCGGCGTAGGCTGAGAGGCTCAAGACAATTTTTTGTAGTGGGCCGAGCTCAGGGGTACCTCGTGACTCGGGTAGGCATATGAAAGGCAAACACAAATTAAGATCATGGTGGCACAAGAAGGGGAAAGGCAAAGCTGCTAACTCGTACAGGCCGTAGCATTCAAAGGAGTTGCGGCATTGTCCGCAAGAAGGCGCATCCTGAACGCTTGCAATTCGTATGCATGGCGCTACAAACGAAGCCCCAAATACAGCAGCAGATAGGATAGCAGCATAGTGACAAGAGTCACATTTAGACTTGTATTGGGGTAAAAAGCCTTGTTACAAGTGGACGTGCAATGCTGCTAAGTACCGCGTCTCCAATTTTGTGTTCTGACTCTGCTGGCATTATTCTGGCTGGAGGAGCATGAGGAGTGGCATGTTATAAGACTCTACGGTCCAGAGGACATTGAGAAACACAGCCCATCAACCCTGAACCCCAAGCCCTACGTCCACAGCCCCAAACCTTTTTTCTAAATCCGAAGAGTACTATACATCTTTGTAGGGAATAAAGGAATAGATTTTATGACATAGGGTTTATGTTTGGATTGCATTCCTTTATTCCCTACCAAGAACCAGTACGTAATTCACAAGTAGAGGACCGCAGCAGCGCCATTGGAGGTCGCCTCCTTGCCACAGGTGGCTACGACGGCAACTGCAGCAGCAATGGGCAAAGGGTAGGTTTCAGGGCATCTGGTCTGCGGACAATAGGATTCAATTCGGATTTGGGATTTGGGCTATTTCTTGAGGGTTTACTGTTGATGTGAAATCTCCTGCATGGCGTTAGTCTGTTGTGATGTCAGAAGCCCCAACGTAGAAGGTATCTAGGGTCATGTGGAATCCTAAACCCTAAACCCTAAGTCGTAGTTTCAGGTTGAATCGAAGGGCTCTGGGCATGCCAGGCACAGGAGTTCAGGCGATTGGTTTAGGGGTTTAGGGCTCCTCTGCTGTGCATGAAAGTGATCCCGGCGCTAAGCTTCAGGCCGCTGGCGAAAGGGTTTAAGGGGTCGGGTTGAGGCTTCAGGTTTAGAGTTTGGGGGGGCTATGCAGGAAGAGCACTCCATGATTGAGGTGAGCCTGTGGGTAGGTGCCGCATGAAAACAAGGAGTGTAGATTCAGGATTTAGGGTCTGGGCTTTAGGGTTTGAGGCTTGAGGGGGTTCAGGGTGAGAAACCAGTTCATTGTTGCTGCAAAGCCTAAGGAGGCATATCTAAAGTATTTGCGACCTATGGTGGTTTCCATAACTCAGGGGCCCCAACATACACCCCAATATATGATAAGCCTTGTTATTGAGACATCGCAACAGGGACCACTAATTTCGGAAACCTCATGTAGGTGATGGTACACCCAGGGTTCTGAGGTTAACGTTAAATGGAAAGGCCCAAGTATCATTCAAGTTGAGCGTTGAGGTCACAAGTTTAAGCATGTCACTTCAGCCTCGTAAGGGATGGAAACAGCTTATCCTAAGATGGTAGTTTCCCAGAATAGGGGGACCCCAACATAAATCCCCAAAATCTACATCCTTTACTGTAGGGATCTCCCGAATGGTACCCCTAATTTGGGGCCCCCTAAACGCTACAGATCATTATGTAACCCTATATCCTTTTGAAAGGACCCCTAATTTTGGGAAACCCTCCAGTCACCCAGGCAAAGTTAAACTCTTCAACGCGCAGAGTGGGCTTTGCTTCGTGACCTTTGCGGCGCTTGGGAACCCAAAGGAATAGGGTTTAGGTTTTAGTATTTAAGGTTGGCCTCGGGATCCAATGGCTTCAAGGTTTAGTGGGCCTTTGCTCCGGGCTTCACGGTCTTGACACAGTTTTCTACACAAGGGTAAGTCACAAAAGCTATCCACTTCTGAAAGCGACGTGGGCATCTAAGGAACACACAGCTCCAGTCAACGCCATTTGTTTCACACCTCAAGGGAATGCGGTGCTTAGCGCCAGCCGTGATGGTTCTGTTCGTGCCTTTGACCTCCTGCGCTACCGGAACTTCCGCACTTTTGCAAGCCCAGACGGCCTCTGTCAGTTCTCCAGCGTGGCTGTGGATTCTGGTGGCGAGATTGTGGCCGCCAGCGCCACAGGAGGAAAGTATGCTGTTTATGTGTGGTCCATTCAGACCGGCAACATCTTAGAGGTGCTCACAGGCCACACGTCACACGTAGAGGCCCTGCATTTCTCCCCCTCGGCCGTTCATCCTGGTCAGCTGGTCAGCGCAAGCTGGGACGGGACGCCAGCCTACTTACTAGTAGATTTGTGTTTCCTGTAGAAGTTCCTTGGATACCTGCTTTCGGGGCAAGCACGTTTTTCATGTTTTGGTCAGCAGCGTTTCATATTGATTATTTCTTATGACCTATGAGCATTACACTTGTATACCCTCTGAGCTGCATGAGGGGCTACCAGGGTTCCTTGAGCTACCATAGTGGGCCTTCTAAATGGTTGGGCAGCGTTTATACTACACATGCTTAGCTGGGTAGAGGGGAAGGATCCCAACAGCAGCCCTCATCTAGTCGCATATTAATACCTGTAATAATCATCCCACAGTTAGGCCCAAACAAGGTCGGGTGCTAAATGCTTATTTGTTGCGTTTCCAAAAATTAGGGATACTATTTTGGGGTGGTCCATATCCTGGTTTTAGAAACTGCCATTTTAGGCCACACACACCTTGCTCAAAACCTTAAACCACATAAACCCTAAGCCCATCTGGGAGCTCAGGACACTCAACGTGTGGGATCTGTATGCTGGAACCAAGGAGCTTCGTAGTCTAGGGATTAAAGTCAGGGTGTAAGGGCTTTCGGGTTGGGGCTTCAGGGTTTAAGAATTGAGGGTATACCATGGGACCATTAACAGTGGATATTGGGGTCCTTTTGGTAGTTTAGCATAAACATTGTCGCATAGTCCCTACGTAGTATCTTCCCTACTAGGAACCCATGTCCATTGACTATGTGAGAAGTGCTGACTGTCGCTCGTATAGGAGTCTGGCATATAGGAATCCAGCTTCTTCCTGGCATCCGTTTACTGTGCCACAAAGAACACATACTCATCAAGCGAACACGTGTAAGCAAACATCGCCTCAGTTGCTTTCGACTTGTGTTGACGGATAAGCTCACAATAGTACCCTGCACCCTAAGCATGAGGCCCTAAACCGCAGCCTAGAGCCCACTCCATCACTCTTAACGAACTACCACTAAGCAAAGGACGGGGTTGCTATTAGGGAACTAAACATCAATTGCCGCTATGGGGAAGCCACATTCTTCACTGTTATGGTATTACACCTTAAATCCTAACTTCAACTTTCTTAACTAAAGGGACTCTACTGGGAATCCCAAACAGGGAACCCCAAGAATATAGCAGGAATATAATAGGAATGTACCTACCAGGGTCCTTATATTCCATTATATTCCTGCTATATTCTTGGGGTTCCCTATTTGGGGTTCCCAGTAGAGTCCCTTTATAAACCCTGAACCCGAAGTGTAAGCCGTGC